CTAAGCCAAAAAATATCCAGAGATTCATATGGTGACCAAGGTTCGATCACTTCCTCTCTCTAGCACCAGCTCTTGGCGTGACTACGTCTTACTGGTGATCAAGAAACTTTTACTTTCTCTCCGTCAGCTTCCTTGACGGTCCTGATGATATTTCACATTACCCTTGGCACTGAACGACCAAGAGGAAATAGTGAATACCATCACATTCTAATATAACACACAAAGAATATCGGCTTCACTCGCCCAGTCCAGCCCTCTTTTTCAAGTGTTTCTTGAAGTCCATGATATCACCCTCCCACCGTGTAACAGCCTGATTTTCACATACCCATATCTCATGGGCAACCTGGTTTATGAGCCTAAAATCATGACTAACTAGAACCATCCCACCATCCCATTCATTCAATGCCTCTGCAAGTGAGTCAATTGTCTCAATATCAAGATGGTTGGTTGGCTCATCCAACAGCAGCATGTGAGGTTGCCTATATGCCAACCATGCAAAAATCACCCTACTACGTTGACCATCGGACAAGTTCTTCATAGCCATTACTTGAGCTTTACCTGTGAGGCCAAACCTCCCAATTGCTGCCCTCATCTTCTCCTCCTCATTTCCAGGGTACTCTCTCATCATGTACTGAAGAGCAGACACGTCCATGTCTAGCTTCTCAGCCAAGTGCTGGTGATACTGCGCAATTTTAAGGTGATTATGCCGCTTAACCATGCCATCAGTGGGGAATAAGTCCCCTATCATCAGCTTAAGCAGTGTGCTCTTTCCAGCTCCATTAGGCCCCACAAGTGCTATCCTGGAATCAAGATCTACACCAAAATCAAGGTTCTTATAGATGAGGTTCTCAGGTGTGTAGCCAAATGCGACTTCCGAAAACTGTAAAACAGGAGGAGGAAGTTTGCCAACATCAGTAAACCGGAAAACCAAGACACTGTCCCTCCCCACCTTCTCTGTAAGCCCACCACGCTCCATCTTAGCCAATGTTTTTTCTTTACTCTGTGCTTGACGGGCTAGCTTAGCTGAACCGTGTCCAAAGCGAGCAATGTACTCCTTCATTGAAGCAATCTGCTCCTGCTCCCACTTATACTGTTTCATCTGGTTCTCTTCTAGCTCTGACCGGGTTTGAACATATTGGTCGTAGTTTCCTGTATAGAGCTTCAATTTCTTGTTTTGCATGTGGATGATATTGGTACAAACACCATTGAGAAAATCTTGGGAGTGTGAAATGACAACCAGAATGCGCTCGAAATTCTTCAAGGATTCTTCTAACCACACACAGGCCTCTAAGTCTGCATTCAGGAAGAAGAATAACACATGTCAACTCTAAAAGAGCCATCATATAGGACTACACATTGTTCATATAAATCTAGCAAGGGCAAAACCCTAACAGTTGAGGAAAGATCTACTATGCTAGAAAATGTAAAGCGAAGATTACCAAGATGGTTTGTTGGTTCATCAAGCAACAAAATTGTTGGATTCATAAATAGGGCCCGCGCAAGAGAAATCCTCATTCTCCAGCCACCGGAGAAATCACATGTTTTCTTTGCTTGCATTTTCTTATCAAATCCAAGACCAAACAAGATCTCAGCAGCACGTTTCTCAGCAGTGGCTGCATCCATAGCTTCTAAACGCTCATAGATCCGTTCAAGTTGCTCTCCACCGCCATCATCCTACAATACAAACGAAACTAACCATATTATCCAAAGAAAACCAAGACCATGGAGCATTAATTTAATGTTAACAGCATCATACCTGTCCAGCCAAAGCTTCAGCTTCTTTCTCCAATTTCAACCTCTCTTCATCACAATTAATGACGGCCTCAAGAGCAGACATGTCAGAGGCATCAATCTCCCGTGAAAGATGAAAAATATCCATATGCTCTGGGATGGGAAGTTCCCGAAGCCCTATAGCGGTAAGAAGAGTAGATTTCCCACAGCCATTCAGTCCCAGCAACCCATAACGTCTGCAAAAATAAGAGGTCAGAACTTTAACATCAATTAAGATACACAATAATACAAGAAATTAACAAGTTTTACCTTCCATAGTTGAGCTCCAGTTCAGAATCAACAATGAGATCATGTCCGTGGAAGGTGACTGATAAAGATTGTATCTGTGACACAAAGAGTACCAAAACAAAACAATGATATCCCCAAATAAAAGGAAGAATCCAAAGGCTCTGCATTAAATTTTCAGCATCTTCTCAGTGATAGACTAATTACTCTTTATAAAAGGTACATACTATAAATGTGCATGCCTCTTGACAGCAATATGCAACTTCTGTTTAAGACTAGTTCTTCTACACCAAGGTGAATAAAACAATGTTGGAATAATACTTAGCGCAACACCATGGAAAGTCACCATAGGACACCCAAAAAACGAGGAAAACAAGCCGAGGCCTAATAAATATCACAAAATTTTGTCAACTCAAATAATGATGGAATCTGGGACTATGAAAAGAAAAAAATATAATAGCACATTATTTCCCCTATGCATATGCAAGCTGACACAATTCAATATAAAAACATATAGTTCTATAGGTTCAGAAATAGCATGAAATGGGTCCAGATAGAGCAGAACTGACACCGTGGAATCATATTGCCTACGCCAACTACTATGGGTTTGATCCACACTTATTATCATATGCTTCCAGAAATTTGGATGTCTCTTTCTTGAGATAGAGGCATGTCGATCAACTTCAATATTACCAGTCATACCAAGGGGAGGGAGGAATAAAGTTAAAGTTCCTTTCATTCAGAAATATATAGCTCTAATGCAAACCCAATAAACCTAACAAGGAGATTAAATTAAAAATAGCCTGAAAACCAAAATAATCCAATTCACTTCTAAAAATAGGAGAGAGATGAATTTCACACCAACTCCTTCATCTAAAACTTTGCGCAGCACTTCAATATGCAACCAGATAGTGAACCAGAAGAACCCAAAAGCCCTAGCAGATATTATATATCTAACCACCAAGATAAGAACTACAAAACCTAACAACAACAACTCAATTTCAAACAAGTTGGGGAAATATGAATCCTACCTGACCACATTGAACCATTTAAACTCATCTCAAGTCAATATTATGCAAATACAAATAAAAAATATTAGACAAAACCTAGTCCCTAGGACACATAGGACCTATAGTAAAAGTGCTAACAAGTCTAAAGCATACAACTAAAAAATATTAGATGAAATCTAGTCCCTAGGACACATAGGACCTATAGTAAAAGTGCTAACAAGTCTAAAGCATGTTCTCAACTAATAGGTATCGCCTATAGAGATCTTTTTCTTCTGTTGTACCCTATCTTTTGCTAGGTATGCATGAATTCCGAGAAACTGTAGGTCCTTCAACCAGGGGCAGAGCTACAAGCTAGCAATGTATTTGTGTTTAAATATGTACAAAGAATAAATTAGGAACGCAGAATTATAGCTCGAAGTCGTTCTAAATTGCAGAACTGATAGTTCCATGAAGTTAAAATCCTGGTTCTGCCTTCGACAAAACTACACAACTACACAATCTAACAATTTTTTTCATGTTACAAGGCGAACATGTAATTACAATTTCCTATTATAAACAACATTAAAGACAATAACGAATCGAAAACCAACAGATACTTGAGAAATCAGAAAGTACAAAAATCAGATCTAAAACACGAAACTAACCCGAATATCCCTGGAAAGGGGATGCGAACATAAAACACCAGTGCAATTTCGATCAGATATGTGAAGATCCCCCACTCCGTTCGTCAAATTATCAACACCGTTGGTCTCCGGTGCCGCTTTGGACACTGTCGTCGCCGCCGCTTTGGATGACGCGGCTGCACCTTTTCCTCCTCTCCTAGCAGCTGCCGCCGCCTTCTTCTGTGCATCTCTCTTCTTCGCCGCATCCGACACCATCTATCAAAAAAAAAGCAATTTCGAATCAGAAAAAAGATCAACAATAAAATAAAAATAGATTTGAACTGAAATTAAATCAGGAAACAAACAATACCTTTTGAAATTGAAGATCTAAGGTTTGGGGAGATTAAGGATAGCGTAGGGAGTGAGATAAAGTATCAGATGTAGTTTCGTTTGGTTAATCTATTTTTCCTCGGACTGCAGCTGCTGAGGAGAAAGAGGAACCCGAGAATGAGGGTTTTTAGAGAGAGTCTTAAGGAAAAGTGGGAGTGATAAATTTATACGAGGCGTGTGGGAAAGAAAGGGTGCACGTTGACGGTTAATGGAGGTCCAAGGATAATCTGAACGGTGATCCTTTCACCTTGGGAAGTTGCTTGCTTTAGGTTAAAGTGAATATATTTGCTTTGGATTTGTCGTTTTTTGGGTTTGGGTTGGCCTAATTTCACTTTGTTAGGTTTTTGTACCTGACCAAAATGAGTATTAAAGTTGGCCTATTGGCCCATATGCCACTCTAACATTATAGAAAATGAATGGTAGTGTGTCAAAGAATTTGTATTTTTTTATAATCATATAAGTCATATGAACATATTAATTAATTATGTTCATAAAAACTTAAAAATATCTTACATGCCACTGAACATAATATTTTGGATTCAAATATACTTAAGGAAAACTCAGTTTTCTCATGGTCACTGGCTCACTGCTGCCCATTTAGATATTCTTTTTTTATTCCATGTAATTACGCAAAAGAACAAAAAGGAAAAAGAAGTTAGTAAAAGGTCAGTACGTAAACGCTTTTCTTTCCATACCTATAATTTTAGTATTATTATTATATCTTCTTATCTTTAAATATCTATTATTACCTGATATTGCTTCTGCTTCGGTACTATTATTATTTTGTTGTTGTTATTCCTTCTTTTTCCTTGATTTTTTTTACTACTGCATTTCCTTTAATTAACTGTTGTGTTTCTGCTTGCCTTGAGTCGAAAGTTTACCAGAAATAACTTTACTACCTGCACTAAGATATGCGTACATACTCTGGGATTACAATGGATATATATTGTTGTTGTTGTTGTAACGAAAGGGGGAGGGGTGAGTGGATTTTGGGCCGAAATCTAAGAGAGGCTAGTGGATGTAGGCTTTAAACAAAATGGAGCCCACGAGCCCATAGTGAGGACTCATCTTCCTCAGCTGCCCAGTCATTTTTCTGCAACCCTCAGCAAAATAAGTTCTCGAGTCTTAAAACTACAGCAACTGCCATTCTCAAAAACTACTTCTCGAGCTTGGAATCAATTTTTCATGGTAAATCTCTCTCCTTTTCTTTGTTTTCTTTTCTTCCTTAGCCTTAAATACATTTGATTCACACAAAAAAAAAAATTCAAGCTTGGGTTTAATGAAACGATTTCAATGGAAAAGTAGTTCTAATCTTTTAATTTCTTATACCCATTTGAGAACTAATAAAGAGATGAAATAAATTTTTGCTCTTTTTGATCATGAGTTCCAAGTTGGGGTCTGCTTAACACGTAGCAAAGACATATAATTTTCTCACAGTGCAAAACTCTTAAGAAGTTTGATTTTCCTTTTTTACTTTTTTTGGTGATTTAAATACTGTGATATTTTTTTAATTACTGTTTGGTGGTGATTGTAAGGTAATTGTTTCTATGCTCTATCAATTTTGTGTTATGTGGAAAAGTTCAGATATTTTGAGAGGGAACTAGCATTAGGGGAATGCTTATTTATTTCAACGAAAACTTACTTTTATCTTCCTAATTACATTAACAATGTGGGAATTAAAAAGATGTTAACTATGTTGCTCATATTTTTTTTGAGAGCTACTATGTTGCTCGTATTTTAATGTGATGAAGACTTTTTGAGTTTTCTGAGTTTTTTTGTAAAATTGCTATTACTTTCTTGTGCCTAGAGTTTATGTAGTTTTGTTCCATTACCTGCAAGACGAAGGTCTAATGGAAACAACCTCTCTACCTGCACAAGGTAGGGGTAAGGTTTGCGTACACACTACCCTTCCCGAACTCCACTTGTGGGAGTACGCTGGGTATGTTGTTGTTCGTTCCATTACCTGCAATCACCATATAAAGAGGAAAAAATTTAACTCCTTTTATGTTTCATTAGAAGAAAAAAAGGGTCTATTACCTCTTTGCTAGAGATGCTAATTTTTATTTATGCTCTGAACAATACAACTTCCTTTTTAACAGATCCGATTTTTGAAAATATGACGTTGCTGAAGAGGTATGTGTTGAGATTGTTCATATCATTGAAGTACATCACTGCAAATGTGGTAGACAGAAACAACGGACGAATAGTAGCAACAGCATCAACAGTAGAACATTCAATGAAACAGTCACTGGAATGCGGTAGAACTTGCAATGCAAAGGCTGCAGCAGTTGTAGGAGAAGTGTTGGCAATGCGTCTCAAAGTGGAGGGTCTTGATCAGGGACAAGGAAATGGGATCCATGTCAATGTAAATAAGGAGGTTGAGAAGAAAGGTTTCAAGAATCAGACAAAAGTTTGGGCTATAGTTAACGGCCTTAAGAACAATGGAGTGAAACTTATTTTGGATGACAATGAAAATGATAGTTCTCGCCCCAGCTACCACTAAACGATCCCCTCTTGCACATTCTTAAGGTATAAAAAGTTGAATATTATCTCATGTCAGTAGAAAATTTTATACTAAATATGTAGCTGACTCTAAAGTTAATATGGTACTCTTTTACAGCATAGTTTGCAGTTTCCATATATTTTGTATAACAGATGATGTTCTTTTCCGGAATGGAGGAGAATTTTGTGCTAGCTTCATTCTCAATCATTTTTGTATCTTTTGTCAAAGCACTCTCTTTACATCATCCTGATCCAATTGACTCATTAAAAGTTACAAGCCGGAGTGTAATATATTACAGGTTTCTATTTGTTGTTTCTCTCATCTTTGGCTATCTTATCATCTTGCATGTTGTTGCTACTGCTTGTGTTACTGCTTCCTTTTGCATGTTTTCTTGTGCCGAGGGTCTATCGGAAACATCTTCTCTACCCTCACAAGGTAAGGATAAGTTCTGCGTACATACTACCCTCCCCGGACGTCACTTGTGGGATTTCACTGGGTATGTTGTTGTTGTTATTGTAGTAGTAGTTATTGTGGCAGTGTTGGAGGCATGGCTTCTTTAATTTAAAGAGGCAATTTAAGAAATACTCCTCATCAAATACGGTTTGTGGTGAATTAGATAGCCTAATGTGTATTTTGCATACTTAAAAAACAGTTTGATTCTCTCTCCGTGGTCTGTACTTCATATATTACAAAACTTTCACTCGGTTCCTTTGCTTTGCTCTTTTGCAGACTATGATCTCAATAACAAGAGTTGAAGAAGATGGGAGTGATGTGCCTGGTTATAGAGAATAAGACTAACAGGTGCTCGAAATGGTTAGCTGGAAACAGGTTTAAGGCTAAATTTTCATGTTCTTCCGGGCTTAAGTTGGGGAAAAATGGACACAAAAACAGGACATGTCATCTCTCTCTTTTCTCGCTACTGTTTTTACCAGTTTGTTCAGCGTCTATCTAAAGTTCTGTCATTAAGTTAACTTAAAGAAATTGTTGTATCCAGTGTTAGAATTTGTGTTGTAAATTTGTACATAAATCATTACTGGAGACAATAGGTGGCCTTATTTTGAATAGTGTGTTTTAGTTGTTACACTCATTGTCAAGAGCTTATGCATGATTCTGGCTAATGTGCCAAGAATTTGAAATGAGTCCTAAACATTAGTTTGAACCAACCGAAACAAAAGGAAAATTAGGTTAGGAGATTGACTCATACTGTTGGACCTTGGACCCACCTGACCCGTATATCTATCTATTTATTACTATATTAAAAGCACGAGGGCACTTAGAGAAATGTCGTTCGCCTTTTTTACCCTTAAAAAATAAAGTTCACATTAGACAAAATAGTAATTCAACTTAATTTCCTAATATTTAGAACTTAGTTCCTTATTTGAATTATGTATGAACTCCTAATATTTAGGGTTCAAAATCAATTAAGATTTTACCTAATTTAAATTATTTATAATCACTCTATATTAAGTTCTTAATATGTAAGATTTTAACATCAACTTAAATTCTATTAATTAAACGCTTTAACAAACTCATCTAACACATGCACGTACAATGATGGTAAGAAATATTGGGGAACATCATGGAAACTATTTGGGCTAATTGATATTTTTTACTTTAAAACTAATTTAGATGTGAATTACCTTATATGAATTATTTGTCTATTTTAGCAACGTGACATTATTAATTTTTTCATGTTACAATTCAATATTTAAAATTTGGGATGCGCTATATTAAGAATTTGAATCAATAAAAATTTAATGAGTTACTATAATAATAAAAATAAATAATTAAGTCTTTGAATTAATTATTAGCAAAAAAACATAATCCAATTATTTTTCAAATGCACCCATCTAAGTACAATTAATTTTGTAGTTAACAAAACTCCTTGGTATATACATTTATTTCCATAAGATCAAGCAAATTGGCGGTGAACAAAATAAATAAAAGAGGAATATCAGTTATATAATATAGCATTAAGCGAGTAAAATTGATTAAAAATACAAACTTAAAATAATAAGAATAAAATAGTGGACCAAAATATATTCTAAATAAATTATAGTTAATTATTATTTTTTTTTCTTGCACTCATTTCATTGAATAACAACTCCTTAGTTTTTTCTTTATACAGCTAGCTAAATGCAACTAATATCCTTAGAAAATAGAGTTATATTGGACAAATAGTTATTTAATTATTTCTTTAATATATCTAAAATTTTATTTAATTATTTTATAATATTTAGGAATAGTCACTTAATTATTTTTCTAATATTTACAACTTTAAAATCAACAAAAATTTTACTCATAAATTTTTTCTTATTTGAACTATGTCCTAATAGAACTTTAAAATCAATTAAAACTCTTCTAATAACTTAGTTTCTATTTAGGTAAAACTTCAAGCTTCGTCGTTTTCCTTTTCTTCAAAAAAAACTTTCATGCATACTCTTTCTCTCTAATTAATAACCTCAAATCTTTTCCTTACCAGTAAGATTTCAAAAAATTTACTAAGTATCTTTATAGAGAGTATTACTTGAGATTCATAATATTCTTAGTTTTATGGCTTACTACCAAGAATTTATGAGATTTTTTTGCCACAAATCTTGATTGATTATATTCTTTGATTTTATAATGCAGCTATTTATTACTCTATTATACTATTTATTACATGTATTATTTTAATATTATATAAGTAAAACGATCGAAGTGAAAAGTCAAAATTGTTCATAAAAAGTCGAACTACATCATTACCTTTCAGTCATACGTTATATTTAATTTTATACCTAACGTTTTTGTACAATGAAACAAGTAATGGAACAAAAGGAAGAATGACTAGAGCGAACCAAACTCAAACATGGTTAACATTTATATTTTGAGGAGCTCATACTTTTTTAAATAAATTTTATATTTATAATGCAAATGTGTCTTTTGAATATATTTTATGTTACTTTAAAAAAAGCTTATTTTTATTGATACAAGGTACACGCGCATCGCGTATATCCTAAGACTAGTTTCATAAGATGTGTATCATCCTCCTAGACTTTTTTTCATTGCCTCACCCAAGGCAGATTGGCAAAAGATCTTCCCACTAACACTTTCATTCTCCCAGCTATGACACTGGTAAAGAGCTCTCAGAAGAGAAACTATGTTTGGAAGAATGGAAGTAAAATTGGAAAAATAAGGGTGGTTTCTTTCTTTTGATTGAAAGAATAAAAATAAAAGAGTAGGTGAAGTAAAATGAAAAAGGTTAGTTATTTCTCCGCATTAATTTTTTCAACTCATCCTGAACAGGGTAGGAGAAAGAGAGATTAGCAAACAAAAAGGGCGTTCAACATGTCCGTGGAAGGGCCGCAATGGTCGGTGGCTGATTTCACGTCACGAATCCGAATTTGTGTTCTATAAGTTACCTAGACAACTTTATCGTTGCTCCAAAGACTTCTTGCAGAGATTATCAAATAATGAAAGTAAATCATCAATTTTTTAACTAAGAAAAGTAGATCAGTTAGTTCCTCTTCCCTTCTGCTCCCTCACTCTTTTATAAGAATCAAACATAGTGATTTTTTAGTTTGATTTTCCTTCAGAATATGTATTACTAACATTTCTTTTCAAACATATTTCTGTGGTAGCTAGGCAAAGTCCAAAACAACACTATAAGGGGTCGTTTGGTACATGGATAAGGATAATAATCCCAGGAGAATTTGGGATTATATTTATTCCATGTTTGAATTATAGGTATTAATTAATCTCGGAATTCCACACTAAAATGATGGAATTAATTATCCCATATAGAACGTGGGATAGCTAATCCCATGGTATGTCCCATGGCATAGGGATATCTCACCATTGTATCAAAATTTGTGGGCTTGGATTAGGAATTTATGGTGTCTTTAGTTGTGGGCCTGAAGAGGGCAAGTCTTCAAAAGTAAAAATCAAATTGTCCAACCTAAGACCTGTTTCAGCTTTAGGCCATTACTCAAGGAATCAAAAACTTGGGCAAATCCCTTATAAAATGTCTTTCCCAATACAATCCATGAATCTATCTATACTATATTAGAAACACGAAGGTCCTTACTGAAATATTGTTCGTTTTTTTACCTTTAAAAAATAGAGTTCACATTGGGTTATATTGTCATTTAATTATTCTCCTTATATATTAGAACTTTGAAAATAATAAAATATTTACTCATTCCTTCTTTGAACTAGGTAAAAAATCCTAATCTTTAGAATTTCAATATGGAAGAACTTTAATATGTTGAACGTATTGTAGTGACATTATTCTTCTTCCCAAGTTATTCTTTTTCCTTTTCTTACTTTGTTATAGTTAATTTAATGATTACCACTAAATAACTAACTTAATTATCAATAAATTTATTAGTTAAAACTTAATCATTCTACCAATAAATGTATAAAATATATCACATACTAATTATTCATTAGTTTTATATCATCTATGCTATTAAATGTGGGTATCCTATTCCTAATCATGCAGAAATTAATAATTATACTTAAGTTAGAAAACTACATCTATAAGGATTTAATACATTAGTAGCCGTGATATGGATTTAAGTTGTATATTATTCTTATTCTTTTTATAGTATCAGTAAATTGTAACCTCTGATAGTTATTAGGTAATACTTTTAATATAATTACTATGTTTATAAATAGATTGCATGTAATTATCTTCAAAGTTACTTGATTGTGCTAACTTTCTACACAATGTGTATAACGTATAAACAATTTGATAGTAATATAAAGGACACAACGAAGTCTGTTGATAGTACAATTTTTTAATAAAATATATAATAAAGTACTCTCTTTAAATTTTATTAAATTAAACTTACTATGAATTGATTTATATTCAAAGAAATTATCAAGATAGAAAAATTAACATAATTATTTTATTTTACGATGAACATCTTTTTCAACATACTTGGATGTGAAATAAAAATTAACATTTATTGTGTATTCTGGTTGAAACTGGAAAGGAAGCATAATGACCTGTGAAATTAAAGTGATAACATTATGAAACCAAAATAAATTCAAAGTTGAACATATCAAAAGATGATTAAGGACTTCTATATGATAATTTTTTTTATTGAGTTAGCTACATAAGATCAATATTCATCTTTTTCATGAAAATATACTTTTCTTTTATTAGTCAAACACAAATTTTCATATAATATTTATGCAAAAAATTTAAAAAAAATTACCCATTAAATTATGATACACGTGCAACGCGCGTACATATAGACTAGTCTAATAAAGTGCACCAGCGGTGAATACCACAGATGGAATGGGTTAACTTAAAGTGACAGTGTATTATATTATCGATACACAGAAAATCAACTCTAAATAAATTGAAGGTAGCAACCCGTGTCATTGAGCTATTTTCGTGTAACAATACTATCAATACACAAAACATAATGGCTTTATCTTGTAGGACTTGCAAATTTTACAGTATAAAAGTTTATAATCACTTGAGCTCGTTAGACTTAACTAAATTAACATCGTAAAATAATAATTAATTGTTGAACGTGATTTTATAAATAGACAGTTATATGTTTAAAAGTCCCCGTCCCAGGATGAAACCACAATTAGGTAATGGACTTGTTCTTAAACTTTACTGTGATACTGTGAATCAAAAATTTATTCAAAGTCCTCTTTGATGGCTATTATATTCCACACAAAGTCAATTGAATGAAAATTCCACAGACCCTACAACAACTCATTTTAGTACATTTTGGTCCCCGTCTTCAATCGTAGAAACAACATTTTCAATGCTACTCAGTTGTTGTCAATTTGTATTTTCAGCTTCTATCAATTTTCTACATCTTTTTGGAAACTTTATCACTCCATTTTAAATGTTCAAATTGTCAATTATTTGATTTCATCATCAACCATGGGACAGTAAGCATGAAACCAGTAACACCTAATGGGCATTTTATTTCTTGAGATTAAATATAAGTAGGTGTCTATAGTATATAAAATTAAAACTGAAAAAACATATATATAATTGAAGTTGTAAAAATAGTTCGTCAAATTTGAGTTGTGTTTAGACATTAACTTCAGTAGGAAAAGATTATTGGAAGT